GCGGATTCGGGGAGATCTCGGTGAGTGCAGTCCAACCATGTTTTCAAAAAAAAAAAAAAAAAAAACTTTTTGACCCACTTTTGGACCCAACCGGAATTCCGGTTGGACCACCGGGGGTCAAACCGGCCCAGTTGGATCCGGGCCGGTCCAACCGGCCGGTTGCCAGCACAGTCATGTTGTGAGGTGATTAACCCGTGCCCTATGCCCTATGCCCTTCTTCTTTTGATAACATTGTTTTTTTCCAGAATTTGGAATGTGTGATTATTTAATTTTATTATTATAAGTAGTATTTATTACTTTTATTATTAATAATTTATTATTATTTTTTGTATTTTTGCCTTTTTTATTTTTTTAGTGCAGCTTGGATACCTCAATGAATGATCATATTTTACAAAACTTATTCGAGTCACATAGCACTCAACAGCACAATACCCAGCAGCTTCAATGAGGTATGTAACTGGTTCATCCCTCATGTAACTCTCTCTCTCTCTCTCTCTCTCTCTCTTTCTCTCTCTGTCTCTCTCTCTCCCTCTCTCTCTCTCTCTCTCTCTCTCTCTCTCTCTCTCTCTCTCTCTCGGCACTTGTATCACACAGCCTTACTGTCTCGCTCTTTCTCTCTCTCTCTGGAACTTCAACCTCTTCTGCTAGATCATACCCTGAATACATCTGCCTTCCTACTTACGCTCTACTACTACTACTACTACTACTACTACTACTACTACTACTGCTACTACTACGGCTATGGCAGCCTGTCTTCCACACCTGAGCGCGCAGCCCAGCAGGGCTCCATGGCGCTCACTCAACTTGCAATAGCGCACAAGCAGCCAACAGCGCTCCCACCTTCTCACGAGTGAATCATCTTTTTGAACGGCACTGGGCAAGTCCTTTTATGTTGACTGGACTGGGCCTTGACGTCGCTTGGCCTCTGCTTGACTTGGTCTGGGACTGACTTTACTGATACCAGTCAACAACAGCCTGTTTACAGTTCGGGAATTTGAGGGTCGGTACCTTCCGTATTTTCCTTGGAGCACTGCTGCATTTTTTACTATGGGACTTGACTGGGAGGCCTGGTACCGATTGCAATTTCACCTTTGCGAACTGCGGGGTGCCCGACACAAGCTTTTTTTTCTCTTTCTTTCTGGACAGACAGGCGGCTGTCGTGATTGTTTAAATTTTTTTATTTTTTTTTCGAGTTTTCTTCTTTTGCGCTGGGGCTACCAGGTACATGGCCAGGACCCTGCTCCGGATCTTGCCTGGCTGTGCATTCCGCCTTTCCAGAACTTGGAATGTGTGATTATTTTTCTACTTTTCGAGTTTTCATCTTTTTTTTTCTTTCTATACTCTTCTCTCAACTTCTGTTTCTTTACCTTCCACTACCTACTCCTAAGACTATCTAGAGGGGACCCCTGCAAGCATATTTTCCTCTCTCTGTGAAGGGGAGATTTCATGTTGCCCCTTGCCCCTAACGGTTAGGGTTTGCTGGGGCTACATTTTTCAAGTTTTCTTCTTTTGTGCTGGGGCCACCAGGGACATGGCCAGGACCTTGCTCGGGATCTTGCCTGGCGGCACATTCCAGGCAGCTAAACGCAGCCCGTGCGCCCAGAAAGTTATCCAAGGTTTGTATTGCAATTTTAGTATTTTACCGTCCGTACGCCTGAAACTGGCCACATCCACTTGGGGTCCCAGGCTGCACAAATCTCATCCTAGGTCTGAAGTCAAAATCCAGACCAGCTCCTGGGGTATCATACACCTTTAGAGGACAAGGGGGGGACGTTCGGTAGGCACTCCCTCTGTATGTAGTTCCGTCAAAGGTGGTTGACTTGACAAGGGTCAGGAAACTTACCCATGATGGCTGCAAGCACAAATTGGTTATCGAGGCTCCAGACAACCATGTTGACACCGCGTGGAGTAGGAAGCAGCCTCTTCCTTGCTCCTCCCACGCAGCTTAAGTTAGGTGCGATGGGTGGTGGAGGCACCTTGAGGTGGTAACCCTTGACCCATGCACCTCTTTTGGCCTGAAAAAAAGACCAAACACAGAAGTTGGAGTGAATGTCAGGAGATGTGTACATATTATCACCAATCAATCAACTAAAAGAGTGCACTTTGCAAAACAAATGATAAAAAGTTAAAAACACATACGTGAACAGCACACTGAAACCGCTCTTTCGCCTCTTCCTATACAGTTCTTCGTTTTCTTTCCTTAATGTTGCCTCTTTATTATTTGTTCTTTTAGCTCTCCCTTCACTGTGCCTCTCCCATACAAGGCTCCTGGCATTGATGAAGTTCAGCACGAGCTTCCCACATCCCCATGTGCCATAACAACCCACTTGTATCAAGTTGTATGCCAGAAAAAGCAAGGGACAGAGTGAAGGAAGAATAGATAAACAGAGAGAAAACATGGAAAGAAGACAAAGAAGAGAAAGACAAAGGGAAATTAAAGGAAAGTAAGGAGTGTGAAACGGAAGTCAAAAGCATAGGAAACGATAAGAAAAGACTCAGGAATCAGTCTGTCCTTGACAGCAGGTAGGACATAGATTGCAACGAAAAGATTGATGAGGACATCGAACACCAAGCTGAGTATTCTCAGCGCAACAAAAGCCGCAACAGCTGAGTATTCTCAGCACAACAAAAGCCACAACAGCTGAGTATTCTCTGCACAACAAAAGCCACAACCTCTGGCATTAAGCATCCTCGCCAAACACGTCCCACAAATGGCATGTCGATTACAGGCCAACATGAAGGGCGAACAGGCACCACCAAAGACCATACATTAGCTATAACGTCCAAGGCAGCAAAATAGACATATGATGTCCAGATGCGGAGGGTGCGCAGAGGAAATGAGCAACAGCGCTCTGCGCACACAGATGCAGAAACCCTGGCATTGTAGTGACCGTGGCAGAGACAATGAAACCTGCAGCCGGGTGTATCACTGTTTGTAGCTGTGCAGAGGAGAAGGTCGCTAAGCATTGACAGATTGTCCTGCTGCAGCACAGGGGCAGAGAAATGATCTTCAAAATAAGAGAGTGTGTGATGTTTTGCTGCGGCAAGAAAACATCACTGGTGTATAAGAAAAAGCCAACATCAATCTGGCACACAGCGGTGCCATTGTCCCACAGCTCCTAGCGGTCAGAGGCACGGACAATGGCCATGCAATGGTCAGGTCCGTGTACAACGCAGGCAGAGATGTGGGATGGGCGATGAAACCACTGACTGCGCTGGGCATAGCACAGTCCAAGTTTCCGGTCCCTCATTGCTGCTTGTAGGACCTGAACTGTAAAGCCTACTTCGCTGGCATAGTTACCACCCTCTGCCTCGAGGCAGGGAAGATCCACTTCAAGCTGACGGGCGATTGCCAGAAAGTCCGGTGCTGTATAAGGTGTGCGGTGTTGAATGTGCAAACAAGCATTTGCTGCATGCCTTCGGCTGTATGCCAGTCAGCTATTTCCAGATCACCCATATGGTCTACGGCGACTCTACGCATTGTGGGGCAATTTGCAATTCAGCCAAATGATGTCCCAATACCAGGAGATTCGGGGCTGCATCCTCCTTACTGGGGACTACCCTCCAGTGGGGAGTGCAGCCGGAATGGGGACCATATCCCACTCTGCAGCTGACTTGTGAATGTCTGATTCTGAAGAGTCTCGGGACTGGGCTCCGCAGTTGGGACTATCTGCAAGGGACATAGGAGTGGGTATTTCCGTCTAGAAAGAGGGAACGCCAACAACCTGTGGAGCAGGCACAGAGAAAGTTAGGACAGAAAGAAATAGCCTACTGTGCTGATCCTTGGATGAGCAACGATACCGTGCATTGTCGACGATACACAAGAAAAGCAGTTATGCAAAACTGGAGGAGGGCATGTCTCTGGCCATGAAGGTTGAACAGTGGACACAGCAGTGTCAGTCCGCAAACGAGATCGTGGAGAAAACGGAGAAAGGAGCACAGCCATCTGCCGTGATCTGAGCGCAAGGGCAGAAAGAGAGGAAAGGTGGGTTGATTGCTCAACGGTTGGAAACAAATGACCTGGACATCGATGTTCTACGCAGTGGAGCCACAGCAGAAGTACATGTATCGTAGTTTCAACATATACATAGCAAGTTCCAGTAAGGGGTAGACATCAGAAATGTGCAAACGCTTGATGGACTCGAGAGACAACATTCTGGACGTGGAAAGGGGACCGCCAAGAAGAGTGCACAAAGAATGTGTACACAGAACAGCAATGGTATACAGAGCAGTAATAATAGGCAGAGCAGTGCGCAGGCACTTCCTCAACTCTACTACACCAACCTTGTGATACTTCGGCCGCAGACGCCAGATGATAGCGCTGCCATCCTTCGAGCAGGTGACAATGTGCTGCTTAACAAACCTGCGCAAAGGAAACAACCAGAGAACCACAGACAGTGGCGACCAACCATATGAATTAGCAGTCCAGGTCCATCTCATCAGCATGCACTCACAATTCCACAGCAAAAGCTACCGTGTTGTCTTGTCAAGCTAGCGAGTACCTAGACTCTCTCTCTCTCTCTCTCTCTCTCTCTCTCTCTCTCTCTCTCTCTCTCTCTCTCTCTCTCTCTCTCTCTCTCTCTCTCACCACCCCCTTCTTTTCTATTTTCAAGGTCTCCATTAATTTTTATTTCTTACAAGGGCACCTGTTGCGGCTTCGCCCGCAAAAAAGAAGGGGGTTCCATAAAAGTGTCGGGCTGGGGGTCGACGGTCGGAGTGGGTATGGGAGGTGGGTGTGAGTGAGTGTGAGTGAGAGAGGGGGGGGTAGGGGTGGCTTGGAGGAGTGGGCGCAGAGGGGGCCGCGCAGAGGGTGGAAGGATGTGGGGCTGTTAGGGGGGAGGAGGGGCCGCGCGGAGGAGGCGCCCGCGGAGGGGCAGGCGGAGGGCGGGGGG